GGGGAGGGGGAGAAAGTAAATTGGGAAGAAGAAATAAGAGGAGAAAGGAAAAGAGTAGGAAAGGGAGACCTGGGGGAGCGGAGTAGGAGAAGGAAGGGGAGGGGGAGCTTCCCAAAGTGAGAGAAAACCAAAAAGAGTTTTAAAATAAGAAAGATTGGGGGGCATGAACAAGAGAAAGGACTGAGGCAAGGGGAGAGATTAAAAAACAGAGGGAAGGAGTAAAGGAATAGCAATAGGAAGAAAAAGTGAATAAGAAGAAAGATAAAATAAAACCTAAAGACGAGAGAGGTGTGCTGTAAGTAAATGCTAAAGCTTCCAGAGGATGCCAGCATGCTGGCTCTGATACAGTGAACAACAGCTGCTTAGAAAGTCCTGAATAAAAAGTGATTTGTGAACTAACAAAACAAACAAAAACAAACTCAGAGACACAAGGGAATGGTGGTTCCAGAGGGGGAAGGGGGGTCCAATATGAGGTGATGGAAGGAGACTAGACTTCGGGCAGTGAGCACGCAGTAGTTCACACTGGTGTTGAATTCTAATGTCCACCCAAAAACTACATAATGTCGTTAACCAATGTTATCCCAAGAAGTTTAATGTTAAAGCGTTTTGTTTTGTTTGTTTGTTCTTATTAGGATATTGTCGGGAGAGGACAAAGCTGCTTACTTTAGAAAGCTCTTTCTCGAACTTCTGGTAGAGGAGGCGAGATGTGATTTCCAAGCGCTCCACCCTCTCCACCGGAAAGGTGGTGTCGGGCAGGGCGACCGAGCACAGGCAGGCCCCGTGGTCATCCTTGGAGCCGGTGAAATTGGAAACCTGTAAACAAAAGTGAGTTCAACATCAGTAATAAGCTGAGAAATGAGCTTTTTGGCAACTGGAGTGACAGAAATTGGCTTGTCAAAATAGTGCTCAGAGGCAAGCAAGCGGAGTCCAATACATAAATGAACAGAATCATAGAAATGAGCTACAACTGCCCTGCTTCACGGGCAGTAACTACTCTTAGCATTTTAGCCACATTTTCACCTGTTGGGCGAAACTACTATGTCAGCCACTTTATCTAAAAGAAGATTCTCCTTTCTTCAGGAGGCTTAACGGAAATTATTACTGTCTCTGTGTAAGGAAAGGGAAATAAAGAATGAATGAGAGTCCTGAGTTTAAATTCCAATTCAGCCACTTACTGGACGTGACCCCTCTTTAAGTCTCAGTTTCCTCATCTGTCAAATAGAGGTAACCTACTTCCCAGGGTTGTCCTCCAGATTAACTGTGTGATGTCAACCAAATCCTGGGCACATGGTAGGTGACCAGCACATGTTTCTTTCCCTTTCCTTCTACTTACTCATTTTCTTTTCCTTGCCTTTACCCAAACCCCAACCCAATTCCTCAAAATGGAAACAAGCCAGCCATTTGTTAAAAACTGAACTGTGTATGAGTTTGAAGGTTTTGTGCAAATTTTTTAAAAGTTTTCCAGCTAACCACTTTCAGAAAAGTCATTTTAAAAATATTTGATGTTTCTTTAAAATATTCAGGCTCACACTTCGGTGCCGCTGCATATTTTAAAATGACAGGTTTAAAAGATCTTGTTTTTCTTTTGTCCCCTTTGAACTTCCCCAAAGGGATCCCACCACAATTACCATTTTGTATTACTGCTAGTGCTTTACCGAGTGACCCCTGGCAGCAGACTGGCCGTGCTTTCATAGATCTCATCTTCCAGCCAGCCCAAAGCTCACCTGTGGAAAGGCAACCAAAGGGGAAGTGTCTGTTTCTGAAACTACCAAGAGGAGAGCAATGGTTTGCAGAGTTTGAAAGAGATCCAGGTTACACCTCTCAAAGTTTAGGAGATCAGCTGACTGTAGCTAAGATTGTGTGTTCTGTGCATTTAAAGTCCACCAACCTCCATAATTCTCAAGCAAGCTGGACCCAGATGCTTCTGTAATCAAGATTTATTCCACCAGTGATCTCTAGCTTTTGCAACTAAATTGCTTGTAAATTTAACCTAATCTTCTTTAATTTAAAAACTCATATGTGTGTGTGTGTGTGTGTGTGTGTATAAATTTGTACCCCAAACTCTCTACGCCAAGTAAATTCCTGACAATGGCCTCAATTTTTTTATTTTTTATTTTTTTTGCCAATTGTGCCCAAACTAAGAAATAAGGAGGAGGGACAAGCAGGTTTACAGTGAGTACCAGGGCTGGAAGGGGGGTAACTGAAGGGTTTTCCAGGATGAATAAGGACTGGACAAGCCACACTGGGAATCTATCACAGAGGCCAGCTTCCCTTGGAACCAGTTTATCATTCCCTCTGAAGATAGAAACACTCCAGCTCAAGCATGCCAAGGCTTTTTACAGAAGGACCAATATATCATGGGCTTTTGAAGAAATAGCTTATTATAATAACTGTCTGCCAAAAAAAAAAGTCTTACATTGCATTTTGACAAGGGAAGGTTAATTAGCTGCACAAGGCAGGATTGGATCATTCTTCGAGTTTTATGAAAAGCTCTGTCAATTCAAAAAACACTGCAGATCATCAAGCAGTCTCAGACGATCAACTAGAAACCACTAGCTAACAACTTTTAATCCTGAAGTTCACCTGAAAGGCAGGCAAATAATTATGAGCCTTGCTGACAGTCATTCCACCAGCTCCTATTGAACATCTCTGTCCCAGTGCTGCGGACTCCCCAGCTGCCACCTTGCTTTTATCATCAGCCCAGCATGCTCAGCTGACATCAAAATGGTCCATAAGTTTGATCAGTGTCTCCCATTAGAGATATTTCTGCTCCTCACATTCAAAGACAATGAAGCTAATGGTGATGGGTCTCTCTCTGTGGTGAATGCTTAAACTCTGTGTGTGTGTAACATGGGGGATGGAAGACAAAGACAAGGGCTTGTCCCTTTGATTATTGGGAGGGTATGTGATCCCCCTTTGGAAGGCAAATGAGACCCTGAGTGCCCCACAAGACACTTACACTGGTAGGGCCTTGCTCAGCATGTGTTCAATTAACACTGACTCGTGTCTGCAATGGGCCAGGCTCTGGTGTTAGGGAGATAGACAAGACCTGACTCCTGCCCAGGGAATCAGCCCCATTTTCATGGTGAAAGCTTTAGTTGTCTATTTTTTCAACAAGCCCCTTAACCTGATGACAAAAGCATAAGACTCATTCTGGTTCCGACTCTGCCAGCTACTGCGTGGAGCAGAGCATGAAGCCTTTTCTCATCGGTGAGATGAGGACCCTGATAGCGGCCCCTTCATTGGAGGGCACATCTGAGGCATGGAGAGTGCTCTGAGCCTACAGCATAAGGCGTGACTCACATTTGTGATTGGAGGTTGCAATTGGCTCTAATTAGCAGCCAAGTCTAAGTGCCTGTGAAGATTCAAGGCATAAAATAATGGTACTCAACATTTTCAAAGTACAGAAAATGATACATTTGGAACTTGCTCAATGACAGTTATGAAGGGATTTTCCACCATTTTCCAAAGAGCTCATCAAGCTGACAGCCAGCCCGCCCTAGAAAACTGGGTTTATAGTGGAAGTGACACCTTGCAGTCTGCTGCAAGAAAAGAGTTGGAGCTGTGATACTGACTTGCCAAAGCAAGATAAGCAAGCCAGGAAAGAAATTAAAACTTCTAACTGCAATTTAACAACCATTTCTTATCTGCTTTTAAATATTTATCTCTTTATCAGACAATAGGCATTTTAGATTTCTCTGTTTCTTGACCTACATTTTATTTTTTATTATTTTAGCTGATCATCTTACTCAAATGCTGATTTCTGATTTGTGGTGAATTTTCAAAATAAGTTATTATCGTTACCTCATTTAAAAAATGTTAATAAGCCCAGCCAGTGTGGCTCAGTGGTTGAGCATTGACCCATGAATTAAGGTCATCTGTTCAATTCCCGGTCAAGGCACATACCCAGGTTGTGGGCTCAATCCCCAGTAAGGGGCATGCAGGAGGCAGCCAATCCATGTTTGCCTCTCATCGATGTTTCTATCTCTCTATCCTTCTCCTTTCTTCTCTCTCTAAAAATCAATTTAAAAATGTTAATGAGTTATAATTGTCTCCATGAAAATTATTTTGCTAAATGAAATAAAATGATGCATCTGATTTCTGGCTACAAAGATCTTTGCGCATATTCATGATTCCCAAAGCATTCACCTCTTTAAGACAAGCAGTTTTCATCCATATGCCTTGAAAACACAGAAAGCTGCATAGAGAGAGATGGTGAAGAGGATGGGCAGACAGTTTGAGCTATAGGACTTACTAGCTTAGCGACCGTAAGCCAATGGCTTCACTTCTCTAAACCTCAATTTTCACATCTCTACAATGGAATCATTAATTTTATATACCTGTTAGGGTTAAATAACATAATATATATGATGTACTTAAGGTAGTCCTGGCATTTATTAAGCATCCGATGAACACCGTTGCTGCCATTTCTATCTGGGTCCTATCCAAGCCATTTTTTAATCAACAATTTTTTATTGCCTATATTAGCCCTGATGGTGAAAACAAAAACAATAAACAAAAGTCTTTTCCTCCCCTGTTCCCATTAGCCCTTCCATTCAGACATGATCACATAAGACCTGACCTGAGATAACAGAAATGCAGGGGGACGGCTTTGGGGGATTTAAGACTCCCCCACCCCAATTCACACCTGAGCATGGAAAGCCTAGGTTTTGTAAAGCAAAGCCCCTACTGAAAGGCCCAGAGCTGATGTGGGCAGAGAAGTGAGGAACTGCTTCTTTTCCCCCTAACCTCTCACCCCTCCATGCCTCTTCCTATTTCCTTAAAGGAGGTCCATAGGACTTATCCCCCAAAGAACTGGGTTCATTACGCTTTCTGGTGATGTAGCCTCCAGCTGGACCAGCTCTGTCTAGTGCATGGTTTGCTTTGTTGGTCTGTTGCTACTTCTGTTGTTTTGAGCTAAAAATGGCTTTAAAAATTCCCTAAAAGGAAGATTGAAAGAGAACTATTACTCCCCCAGGGAAATATCTTTGTGTAATAACACTTTCCTAGAGACCAATGCCTCCTCCCCCTACTTCTGTCACTCATCTCCTTTACAAACCAGGCTCAGAGAAATTGTCAGGGCTCCAACCAGAGCACTGTGGCTCTCCCTCCCTCCAGGGCTATCCTTCACCATCTGCAGGGTCCCTGCTGGGCAGTTAATTGATTGGATGAACTTTTCTGAAGCTACTGGCAGGGCCCCTTCCTTAGCAGTTCTCAGGGAGGCTAGAACCTGGGCATCTTTACTTCTCGAGTGCCCCCCATCCCTTCCCCCGAGTCTAAAGTGCAGCCAGGTTAGAGACCCTCTTTAAAGCCTAGATTGTTTCCTGGAAGTCACCTGCTGGAGAGCCCAGATGTCATCTCTCTTGCTAACAATTTAATTATTTCACCCAGGTTTTAATTCATTTCCATGGTGCCTACAGTTAACAAAGAGAGTCGTAAATCTTTTAGAGTGCTCGGGTCTAGTCATCCATGAAATTATATCCAGGTCCCCAAAAAGGGAGAAGAAGGGAATGAATGCAGCTCTCAGACTCTGGGGCTTACTTACCTGGAACACGGAGCCAGAACCAGATCTGGTGCTGGCACTACCCCTGGAGCTGCCACCACTGGAGCCAGATCTAGAGATGAAGTTAGAGGGGGAGTCAATGAAGGGTAAGGAACTGGGGCTCGGGTCAGGCATCGGGGTCCCCAAATCCCCTGCAGCTGGGCTGAGGAGGAACAGAAGGGCTTCTAGGAAGGGGAGGCCAGGCTTCATCTTGTGCTGTTGGATGAAGCAGCTGGCTTCTGCAAAGAGTTCAGGGGCTTCTTATAGTGCCCAGTGGGGATTTCCCCATGGCCAGTTTGTGAGGAAAGAGGAAGCCACCAGCGAACACATGCCAGCCCTGGGAGGGTAAGGACACCCAGGAACCTGAGTCACCTCCACACCTTGTCACTGAGCCCCATTCTGTCAGCTGCCCTTTGATCTGGTTATCTCCTGCCAAATATTAATGCAAATGTGCTTTTTCAAGCCTAATATCTCATTTCCAACATGCCACTTCCTTGAAATAGTCCGTATCAAAGTAGTCTTTGTGGATATGACAGAGGTTGGAGGTCCCTTGCGAGAAAGGCAACCTTCAGTCCTTTGCCCAGAAGCCACTTTTAGTGGCCCCTTTCACTGAATGCTACTCTCTAGAGAAAGGCGGGGAACTCTGTTTAGAAACCGCAAATCTCCCCAGGGTGTGATTCCCTTTTCAGTTGCTACTGCCCAGGTCCTCTGATCTCTCTCTTGCAATGTCTGCTTCTAGACCAAGTTCTCTCAACAAACCACACCGAGGGAGGGACCAGCAATGTTCTGCTCCATGGAAATTCGGTTAGGGCTCTGCACATCAAGCACTCACCACTGTGGGCTCCCTGTAGGAGAAAGAATCCAAGGAGGAGGCTTGTATTCTTCCCAGGCCCAGGCTGGGAAGGTCACGTTGAGAAGTTTCTCTCTCCAGAGGACTCTTTCTGAGCTCCATTGTCCCAGACCCTCCTATGAGCTGGCCAGGTGTTCAAGAGCTCAGTGCTTATTCATCATGAGACTGAAAGACAGGGATGGTCTTTAGGCTTTTCTCTATTTGCACCTCTCCTACATTTCACACATCTCTGTGTCCTCTGCAGAGAAAGGTGTTGGCCTGAATATTAAAAACCAGCTCTGTCACCCAGTGGCCTTTGCAAGTCCTTTATCCCCTCTAGTGTTGTAACAATTTCTAAATTGTTAGAATTAAATAAAATATTATACGAGGAGCTTCTCATAAGCTTTAAAGTGTTATACAAGTGTCAGATTTTTGTGCTCTTTTATTGTTGTTTTGTTTTTAATTTTCTAAAGCCTGGTTCAATGTGTAAGGTTGCTGGATTCAAAACAGAGAAAGAAGGTCCCTGCCCTACTCATCTCCACCCACCCCAGACCTGGTTTGAAGGGTTCTTTCTCCTCATGGGCTCCACAGACTCTCACAATAAACACTGCTAATGTGAGAAACAGTCTTAAATCCTGGGTAAACTATTCAGATACTCAGGGGAAGGAAGAAGCAGGAAATTAAGAATGAATGAGAGAGTGCGAGAAGAGGAAAACAGGGGAAGAAGGACAAGCCTCTCTTTCTGGTGTACCCAGGGTGCACTGGAGCTGCATCCCTTGTCAAGTGCCTTACTCTGCCCCCTGACCCAGAGGGCTCAGTGGACACCCTACCTAGGTCATTCTGCCCAAGTTTAAGGTCCACACTTCCCCAGCCATCCAGGCTATTATTGCTGCCTCCACATCAAAACACACCCTCAAACCACACAGGGTGTCTTTTCACTCAGAGCTGGTTAGAGTAAACCCAAGAAGGACAGGAGCATTCTCCCAGAAGCTTTCTGGAAACAACAGTGTATACCTACACATCTCCAAAGTTAATCTGTGGTAAAGACTGAGGTCAAAGACAGGTAATCCATGGCCAGCTCTCATAGGGTAGGAGGAGTATTTTGAAGCCCCCACCTTTCATATTCTGCCTTATGTAGGGTTACCAGATTTAACAAATAAGAATGTGGGACACACAGTCCTATATGAATTTCAGATAAATTACAAATCATCTTTTTAGTACATGTCCCATGCAATATTTGGAACGTACTTGCTCTACTTGGCAGAGGCTTCTGGGCAAGTGAGCCATGAAATTCACTGTTCCCTATGGAAAGAGATTCAATCTTGGCCTCTTTGGTTGCCTGTTCTAGCCACTTAGATGGCCAGTCCAAGAAAGGAAAAGCACATGTGATAATGAAATATGGGTACACTGCACCTATCACCCTGTAATTGAATGCTATGAATACAGATACAAGAAGGAGAGCTTTTCTCTCCCTCCCATCACAGTACCCCCTTTTCCTCTTGGTTCCCAGAAAAGCAAAGCAAAGGGTAAAATCTCTTCTCATTTCTTAGTAGTCTCTGTCTGTGGCTATAATGAGCTTTCCTTGTTGGTTTTTTCAAGGAACATGTCAGTGTCCTTATCAGAAAAAAATTAAAAATCTTATTAACAATGATAGCCCACAGTCATGGCTACCTTTAAGAAATCCCTTCCAGAAGGGTTGCATTCCTGCAGGAATGAGGCAGTAGTTCTCCCAAACACAAGGGTGCCTCAGCCTGGAAAGAACTAGCTTCCCACCCCTTGCTCATAGGCTTCTTTGTTCCTCTATGCCTCTATCATTTTCAGAATAAAACTTTAATCTATTTGGTAACTTCAAATACACAAAAGCATTGGTCATGCCTCAATAATAAGATTATTAATAATAATAGTTTGATCGGTTCCTCTGCAAATACCTTTGTCCTAAGAAACAATAAGCTTCCTGGTTATTTGACAGCCTCAAAGACAGGAGGAAATTATCAGCATGGCAAAGCAAACAGTATATTAGCTATAAAAATTTGTTCCCACGCTGGGCTCCCTGTAGAGTAAGGGGGTCACTGAAATTCACTTGAGTAACAGCATTCCTCACTGACAGTTCTCTGTGTATGTACTTCACTAGGAGAATTCCCTAATGCTGTCCTTCTTGAACAGTTGCAACACAGAGAAAAGATGCCCAGATAGATGGAGCCTTCATTTAATCCCCATCATTAGAAATCAATGTCAAACATACTGTGGTACTTTGAGAAGGGAGTGTCTTAAGGTATCTGGTGAATAAAAGGACAATAGAGGTTGTGTTTAGTTTACAGATGACTTACATAGGCTGTGTTGGGGTGAGACTTTTCATGTCTGTTGAGTCCATCCCCCAAACTCCTCCAATGCCTATTAACAATACCAGTAATCATAGATAAAAATAATTATTAACCGACACCATTCACACACCCTGGAAGGAAGGTTAGCAATGTGCATTGGGCCCTACTCTCTGCAAAACATCAGGCTCTAAAAAGAGTTATAAAGAAAGAAGAAAGCATAATTTTTGCTAATAAAAATGTCTAGTCACTCAAGGAGGCAGGCTACTTCAGAAAATATACTAGGAGTAAAAACAACAAATTAAACACAAAACCAATTACATGAATATTGAAGAATGACTGGACAGACTGTGCTGGCCCAATCAGGGTGAGTGGATGTGAGAAGAATTCACTAAGTAATGAGCTTCTTGAGGATGGAGACCAAGGCCTTACTGGTTTTGAATCTCCAGCACCTAGCTCAGTATTTGGCACTTGATGCCCAATAAACATTTGCACACTAAAGAAATATATTTAATAAATGCATAAATGAATGAATGAATTGATTAAATAAGAATTGTGAAGGAAATTCTTAAGCTAGTACTGGAGGAAATACTAACTTTAAAAATTACCATTGGATGAAAGGGAGTAAGTTCCAATCAAAAGAAATTACATGAGTAAAAGCCCTCAAGCAACCTGAATTTTCTTCAGGGTCATGATGATGCCCAGGCTCCTGCAACATCATATAACCAACACTAGCAACTCATTCTCGGATCAGAGTTGCTAAAATTGTTCCTCAGAGAGACCCAACCCCCAAATCAACATTCCAATTCCCTAAGCATATTCTGTATCTAGAGCTACCTAGATTTAGCCATCCCATCATGGTTTAGAAGATTTAAACCCCAAAATACAGAATTTGTTACCAAATACTTATGTTTTTCAACCTGCAACAAAATCATCAACACCGATGCAGAACCTAGCTAGTGAAGAATGCAATTGATAGAAACCAGTGCAAAGTTCTGAGCAAAAAAAAAAAAAAAAATGACAAAAGTGTTGAATGGTAACATATACTGATTTTTTAGAAGAATAAAAAGAGAAATTTTACATATTCTAAGGTAAATTTTGGACTAATAAGACATGGAGGCTTAAGAAGTATTTCCTTCACAGATGTCAGTGTGGAATCAGGAGACACCACCACGACCAGGGGCAGAGGTGGTGACTCAGGAGACACTAAACCTCAGGCTTATCTCTGGACCCCACCAGAGAGAGCCTCTGCCCAGAGACCTAACAACACAGGCTGTCCCTTAAATTTGCCGTGTCCTGACCACTACATTGAGACACACCTTCACTGCACCCTCTCAACAACACTTGAGTTTTCCACACATTTGATTTTATAAATCACCCAGTCATCCCTCAAAGCCCAGCTGAGTTGGTTTCCTCAACTAGAGGTGAAGATGTTTCCTCCTCTTTCTTATCTGCCCCATTGCAGAAGCTCTGCTTGCCTCACATTCAGAAGTCCTGAGTTCTCAGCTGGGCCTGTTTTTCTCATAGTTACTTGTATATGTGTAGCCTCATACATCACTCACCATGAAAAAGAGGCAAACTTTTCCTGCATCTATGAGAAGCTGTCATCTGAAAATTCTAAATATGACCACTGCAACTATTGTAGCATTTTCAAATTTAATCACATCTTTTATTTTTCTGTTTCCATTACTTCTCTGCATGAATCATCTCAAACCTTGCAAATGGCAAGTTCCAGCTAGGTGTCAGAATTCTGCACTCAGGGTCAAGTCGATGTAGTGAGAAGGGCAAAGAGGCCAAAATACTGAGCAAAACTATTGGATCTATCAAATTCTTAGCTGTGTGACATTGGGCATATAAGAACAACAGAGCATGTCAAACCTGAGTTTTCCAATATAGTAGCCACTAGCCAAGTGTGTCTATTGAGTAGCTGAAGTGTGACTTTGACTTATCCACATCAAAATATGTTATAAGTATAAAATACATACTGGATTTCAAAGACTTACTATGAAAGAAAAGAATGTAAAATATTTTATTAGTAATTTTTATATTGATCACATGTTGAA